AGATGGTCAGCTGTCATGTCTGCAAGCTTAGAATTTTCACAGCATGCATTTACTCGTGCCGCATATGTTACAATATCTTCTTGGTCTTCTTTTGTCAATTGCAAACATTTGTATCTGAGGCTGAAAATCGACTCCTTCGATCCGAACATCTCCTTCAGGGTTTTCACTGTTTCAGTGAATGATAGGTCTCTTGGGTTTTTTTGGTAACACGTACGTTGCGTACTTCCCGTATGCTACAGGGTTGAGCTTCCTCATTAACAATCGAACTCGTGCTGGATCATCCAAGTCTTTGCCATCAACGATGAACACATCTTCGTGCCGTGCATACCACATATAGAACGTTAGGTTATTTTGCGGGTCGTAACAGAAATCCACAATACGACTAGCCAAATTTTCCATTAGGCTTCCTCGACCTTTTGCGTTGTCTTCAACGAGCATTGCAAGCAATTTGCCTTGAATTTCCAAAAGCTCTTGGATCTTTACGTCCGCCATTGCAATGACTTGCCAATATACACTCGGCTTTTTAACAAAATGGCTGCGTCGAATGTTCTCGTCGCAAAACTCGAAATTTTCTCTTGGTGTAGAATGCCTTGCCAAAAGACATAGGTGGTAATTATCTTATTTGCAAGTATCCTTGCAACCTGCATACTCCGAATACTCGTCGCCAATTTCTGTTGTGGTCCAACAGAATTAAAGAATGTTCAATTTGTTAAGAAAATCCAGTTTATTTAATTCTATATAAATAGTAGCGTGCTTTCTAGTAAAGTACGTAAAAAGGAAGATGAAGTAAAAAAGGAAAATGAAATAAGTATATGGTGATCCGATATCAGTGCCGCCACACTAGCATAAGTTGAGTGAGAACATGGTTGCATTCAATAGGTCTGCAATATCCGCAACACCGCATATGAATTGTGCGCGCAGAAAAATATCTGCAATCGGCTTTTTACATGAACAGTAAAATTCGCAATCGCCAATGTCCGTCCTTAAGGCTGCAACGTACTCGGCTATTGGTTGATTTTCCGACTGGTATTTCTGCAAAAATTTATGTAGGGCGCAGTGTTGCCAGTTTGCGGAATTTCGCCCTTTTTTGGGGATTTCATGACTAAAAAGGGCGAATGGGATTTCCTGTCGAAAAACGCGATTTTTTGCATATCATACCAAGCAATAAAATTTGGTGAGTAATGGATAAATATGAAACAGCTCATTCACTTGAAATTAATTTTAATAGCAAGTTTTTGAGGTATACAGAAAGTAATTTGGAAAGTTATAAAGTGCTTGAAGTTAGAAAAACGTGTGGGGAATTCGGGAAGTTGTGTACTTTGAAAATATTAGAAAAATCCCTAATCAATAAGGCAGCTCGCTCTGATGCGAAAAGCAAAAATTAGCGTTTGTTTTGTTGCTTTACTGTGCGTTTGTGTGAAACGACGCCATAACGGTGCCATACCTTTGTTGTAAAAAACTGCCGATTTTCGCTTAAACGCTTTTTCAAATATCTGGAGTTTCTAGATTCTGAAGTTGTTTTAAATGAATGTAAAATAATCAACTGCGACTCTTTAGAAAGCATAGTGGTATACACAGTCGTTGACCACTTTGATTTAAACGATGAAGGAAAAAGTATTTTGAGTGCTTTTATAATCAAAAAAAGTAATATTAGCGATGTACAAACCTTTGGGCGGTTGTCCTTAAAAAAGGGCAGTAAATGGAGATTTCTTATATCAAAATTCAATGGATATATATAGTTTTGCAATATCTTTTCATTATTGTTACCATTCTTATTCTAACTGCCAAGGAATTTTTTCATTGCTTACTGAGATCAAAACGAAAAAGATAATCAGAATAAACGAATAAGCATTCGAAATAAGGATAATCGAAGGGCGAAGGAATCGTCAAAAATTAAGTCAATCTCCCAAGATCGATTCATATATTTTGTCAAATAACGTATTTTACTTTATTTTTATAAAGAAACAAATATTTGAAAAAAGGTGTGAGATACGGTGTTTCTATGATAAGACAATGATATGATCATTCAACAGAAACTTCTTAACAGGCAACGAAAAGACAAAAAATGTATCCCATTTTAAAAATGCTATGTGGAAACAAACACAATAGGGGTATTCTCCAAATCTTGCATAGCCATTGCACGTAGCACGGATTGCATGGATTGCATAACTTGCAAACACACAACAACGAAATACAATCGAAACAACATTTCCTATCGCTGCAAAATATGCATCATCGAAACCCATGTATATATTTTGCAAAATAGCATAGCAAGATAAATGCGACCCTGTGCTAGTTGTTGGAATTGCTATATATTTCTCTCATTTCTCTCATCTCGCTCATTTCATTTTTTTTTGCTGTCTCTTGTTATTGTATTTGATATATAATTT